ATATAATATTGTTTATTTTAACATTTTTATTGTGAACGCCAGGGAGGGCTTAGCCCTACTAGTCCAATTATACCAGCTGTCACTGCCTCCATCAATATTTTCAGTTACAGGCTGAGTCATTTTTGTGTTCTCCTCTCTGTCATGTGGATGGAGGACCTCAGTGCTGAGAGGAGAAAGTGTAGCGCTGAGCTAATAGTCTAAGCTGAGGTTCTTCTTCCATGACGCAGCTCTGTTGTCCTCCATCCATATTTTCAGTTACAGGCTGAGTCATTTTTACCTTCTCCTCTCTGTCAACGCTCTCTGGTTTCATTTAAAAGAGTCGTTCATCAGATATTGTCCAAGATTAACCTTCAGGGTGGATATAGCTCGCTCACACCGAGGACCTATCCACGTCATCATTTACCCAGAATGCTTTACGTGTAAATAAAATGGCCCCATCCGTGTAACATATTTTTAAACTTTTACCGTATTTATTCGAGTATAATACGTAAAATTTAATCCATAAAATCATCCATAAAGTTGGGGGGTAGTATTATACTCAGATAAATATTTTTACTTATGTATTTTAACTGAAATATCGGCAAAATTATTGAGTCTGGACATGAGACCGCGTTGTAAAAAGCAGTTGAAACGAGTTCACCTCTGACACTCCTCTGTGCTTCAGAGCGAGATAGTAACAGATCCAGGCAGGCAACATGATTTGAAAAAAAGGGGGGAAAGGGCAGTCCTGTAGCTCAGTATTGATGACGAACTATGTACAGATATAACTAATGACATTAGCGTGTGACCGAGCCACTGCTGGAACAACAACAAACACACGTTCGTCTGTAACTTCTACTGGTGTTCTAAAAAAGTTTGTATCCCTGAAAAAATGTTTCCCCACCAGAGGGGGCGCTCGCGGGTAGGAAGTAATCTGCTTTTCCCCCACAAGATGGACTAAATCTCATGTGAAGTCTCTGACTTTTGTGTTGGCGTCTCCTGGTGGACTATGTGTAAAATGTCAGAATTCATATGATGCTGCTACAGCTGATTTGTTGCCAAAATACCTTTTAATACATATGTTGTTAAAATAAAATGAAGAGTCCAATGATCATTTTACTGATATATATAAAGACTGCAAAGGCTGAAAAATCTTGAAGTCTGTATGAAATTGGAGGTAGTTTGAGGATTCAATTTTTTATGCTTTTTAAGCTCAAGAAAGGAGGGGTCGTATTATACATGAGATCGTATTATACACGAATAAATACGGTAGTTTAAACATTAAAAAAACTAAACAGCCTAAAGTATTTTTACAGTCTTTATTTTACAGTTAAAACATATGTTTATCAAATAAAGTCAAATGTTACAACTAATCTGAGATCCCTTTAATAATTGTGTTCTGCAGTTTTTAGTTTAACAGCTTTAGTTCTCCCTCCTACAGTTAAAGAGAATAAGGAAGTGCCCCTGCGTGTACACAGTATTTAAAATAAAGCACATGGTAGAAGTTTAGTTTTCACATAATAAATGGCTTGACACGCAAACTGTACATTTTATTGTAAGAGGGACTCAGAGGTAGGTTGTTATGGAGGTATGTGTTTAGATGTTCCCTGTCCCACTATCCCTCACTCTCATTTACCCCCCACACATGCCCCACGCTGACAAAGACCCCTACCATCAGCCCCTGATGTAAACTGTGGGTTCTCCCCAAGGCCGGAGCGTGCCAGGCAACAGCTGCACGGCTCAAGCTCTGTTCCACTTAACGAGCTGCCTCCTAAAATATGTCGACATCAGCCCCAAACCCTTCCATGACACTCCATCCACCCCGAGCCACATGGGACACCAGGCTCAACAGAACAGCCATTGTTGTGGTTCGGGTCAGTTCAGGCCCTGGATGTTCACTGGATGAGACCGCTGTGACTACAAACGAGTGCCAGGGTTCATCCGTATGGTTCTGTTTCCAAAAAGATAAATACAAATTTTAACTTGTTTTCTAAAAGAATGCAGATCATCAAATCGCTTGCAGAGAAGTGAGTTCTGATCAAAGCTTGAAAATAAAGTAACATGCGGGGATGACATGGTTCCAGGTTCTACTGTTTGAGTTCCAGGCAAGTGTCTGGAAAAGAGGTGACAGGCTGAAGGCTGCAGAGGTGTTCAGGTTCTGTTTCCTTTCAGAGCTGGGTGAGGTTCTCCGTCTGCAGAACAGCTCAGAGTTTCCAGCAGGTGCACACAGAGGATCAGTGTGGCAAACAACTTGACCTGTGGTTCAACTCAGCCTGGCAATAATTTCATTTCATTTATTTATTCAATTAATTATGGACATTTACACTGGAAACAAGAAGTATTGCATTTTAGTGTTACAGCAGCCTTGCTAATTAGCAATCATCAGTTATGAGCGCCAAGCCCCGCCCACTCATCAGCTCCTGCAGAAAGGTGGTTTTGGGGAAAAGGCAACAGAAATCCTCACAGATGTATCATAAATAAGCCTCAGCTACTGCAACTTTAAATTTGAGCTCAGTATCAGTAAAACTGTAAGACTTTGTTCATCTTTAGTGTTAGTTAGGCTCAGTTAGCTGTGGCAGCCATCTTCATTCAAACTAACTCCAAAATAATAATCAGGAGTACATCTGAGGTCAAAAATAAAAAAAAACACAAGTATCATTTCACATGTAGCTCACTCTTCAGTGTTTTGTGTGTTTATTATCAGATGTTTACTGCAGTCTAATCACAACATTTTATAAGTTTCAAACAATTTTACTGAAATGTTTCACTCTCTTAAACAGTTTTAACGGTTTTTAAATAAAACTTGTGAATTTTTTGTTGTAACAGTTTCTGCTACTGTTGTTCCAGGTCAGCAGTTGAGAAGTTTGTTGCAAGAAAAGAAAAGAAAAGAAAAGAAAAGAAAAAGAAAAGAAAAGAAAAGAAAAGAAAAGAAAAGAAAAGAAAAGAAAAGAAAAGAAAATAAAATAAAATAAAATAAAATACAGGGCCAACATAGAAGTAAACAGTGTTCCAGTTTCTTTATATTTTACATGCTGTGTTGAAACCAGTGGCCCACCACTGCTCTACGTGTTTAATGGCGCCCTCTTGTGGAAATTCAGTGCAGCTCTTAATATTCTTACAGATTTCAGACTATTTTAATCATACTTTTCACTTTAAATTACCTTAAATATCAGTTTGTTTGATCTAATCCTGATCTCCTCCTGCCAGGATTAATGTGCTACAGAGAGGCTGATGTTCACCATCAGTATCTGTCTGACCAATCAGCTGTCTCTGATGTCTCTGAATGACACATATTCAGCTTCAGCTACATGTGGGTCATATATAAAACGATTGACATTTGAGGTAATCATTTATTAAAACTTTTTTCATCAACTACAAAGCAAGCACTCAGTCTGACACTTTTAGCCTCAGAATCTCACTCTTGTTTGCAGTGATGCGATCACAGACTCAGTGAAAACATGTGAGCATCTTTGTACTTTACCGCCACATTCTTTACAATTCTTTTGGAAGACTTGCAGAAAAAGCAGCACAAGTTGACTTGAAGGAACTAGAGTTCAGGTGGAAGGCCCCTGGAAAATCCAAATGAGAGACATCAGGCAGATGACTCAGGGCTCGTCCAAACAGGAAACTGCCGGGTGGTTGGCCTAAAATCCAGACTGACAACTAGACTCAGGTAAAAACCATCCAGACTGGACACAGGATTCAGGTAACTGAATCAGAGACCTTCCAGACCTGCAACAGAGTGGTTGGTCTAAAACTGCACAGACTGCTGTGGGAGAGGTGTCCTCAACCCTTCAGCAGCCGAAGGTTTGAAGAACATGAAGGTCTGAAGTTTTTATTGATCAGCAATTCACCACAGCTGTCTGTTGTTGTTTTTATCACACACCTCCTCATTTTTGGGTGGGGTACACCTTGGACAGGTAATAAGTCCGTTACAGGACCACTTCAGAGACAAATGAGACATTCATCTAGTCCAGGGCTATTCTCTTAAGCCCAAACCCCTGGTTTACTTTAATTACTCTAAGTTCTTTTAGTTAGGGCATGTTTGGTATCTACAGAAACATCACAGTCTTGGCTAGAAGCTGGTAAAAACATTTCTATGAACACTCAAGACAGTTAAAACTACAAGCAGTTGAAGATAAAACTATGAAAGTGAAAATTAAACTGGTTTACGAAATTGTCAAGTCAGAGATGTTAAAATGTGTAATTATCACTACTTTTATAGGGTTCTGAATGTTGTATTCATGATTAAATGCAGCAAAATAAACAATTTCAAAGGTAACAGATCTTTGTAAAACTTAGTTTATTTACATAATAACTTTAATTGCTGGATGTTCGGCCCCTCAGCTGTTGACCGGCAGTAACTGTGGCCTCCAGAGCAGATTAGTTGAATAGCCCTGATCTAGTCACAAACCTAACATGCATGTTGTTGTTTTTTTTTGTGTTTGTCTGAGGAAGGAAATGTTTTGTACTCACCACACAGGCAGAAAGTCAGACATACATCTGGACTCGTGCCACACACATATCACATGTGAAGTTCTTCTATTGGACTTTTAAAATACCTTAATTTTACACTGACCATTCATCTTACTGCCATCCCACTCACCAGGCTCCTGGCTTTGTTCAAGTGTTTGAAGTAAAGTACTTATTGTTTGGGTTCATGAGTTTTCACAAGATCTGCAGAATTTGCTTGTGTGTTTCCGCAGCCAATCTGTGACCTGCAGTTGTTTTAAACACACACAGGTCACACGAAGGTCCCGATCAGTTTGACCTGCAGACGGTCTGTAGCAGAACGTTGTCAGTACGGCTAATGTTCCTTTATAAAGCTTTTTTGTTTTATCAGTGCTGTTACGTGTTTTTTCTAACAGATCTTGTGCTGATTGATGTTTAGCAGGCATTTCATTTCAACAATCTTCTGTCTTGATGTTTTCACTTTAAAAGCACAGGAGAGACTTCCTGACATCCTGCTTACAGCATTTTCACACTTCACCTACAGTTAGCCTTTTAAATGCTTTTAGCTAATCTTTTGTTACTTTTAGCTTTTAATTGGAATTTTATTACATTTAGCTAACTTTTTGCTAACTTTAGCTTTTCTTTTAACTAAGCTTTATCTTGATTTTTGCTGCTTTTAACTTAATATATAAGATTTTAGTTAAACTTTTGTTAGTTTTAGCATGTCTGTAGTTACTTTTAGCTTTTAGTTAGCCTTTTGTTACTTTTAGCAATGTTTTTCTAACTTTAGCTTTTCTTTTATTTAACTTATTTTTACTTTTATCAGGATTTTTTGCTGCCTTTAACTTAAAAAAATTCTGTTTAGCGTTTAGTAAACCTTTTGTTATTATAGCTTAATTGAACATTTGCCTTTTGTTACTTTTAGCTAATCCTTTGCTAACTTTAGTTTCTCTTTTATTGAACTTATCAGGATTGTTGGTTTAGCTTTCAGTTAAACTTATATTACTTTTGGCAAGTTTTTATTTATTTATATTTATTTATTTATTTTGCTATTTTTAGTTTCTCGATAGCTTTTAGCTAGTGTTCCTATTCTTACATTTACAGCTCAGTTTCAGCTTCTTCAGGTAATTTCAGCTCTCAGTCACTGTGTTTTTTACATAAAATGTATTTTCTTGAATGAACTATTCCGAGTGGAAACAATAAATTCAGCTAAAGTAACACAAGCATACAAACTTTATTTATAAAGCATTTGAAGACAGGCTGATTGAAGTGGTGTACAATAAAACAAACAAGCGCATGACAAAGAATAAAATACAGAAAGCTTCATAAGTAATAGTAGGAAATAATAAAATGAATAGAAAAACAAATAAAAGCACAGTAATATTAAGTCATTTCACACTGAGTTGAACACCTACAAACAGAAAGTTGGGGAGTCGGTCTAAACATGCAGCATCAAACCATTCCAGAGCTTGGGCCTTTATTGTCCCGTGCGTGTAACGGCTAGGAGGCAGGGTGAAYCCAATTGCAGGCAGGCAAGAAAGTTTAACAAAAATTTATTAAATAAATGGCCAGCTATGTGGYAAAAACAGAAAACTRACAAAAAAACAGGAGCAAGAAAGCCAGGGCATAACAAGAATCCAACATGAATTACTAACAGAAAACACCTGAGGGAGAAACATGAGGATCAGGTGTGAGTGGGTGGGGCTGGAGCAAGGGCAAGACAGGAGGAAGGAAACATGAACATAACAGAAACTAAAAATAAAAACACTTAACACATACAAAAATCATAACAGAACCCCCCCAATAAGGGACGGCTCCTGACGTCCCACAGGAGTTCCGGGGGCCGGCCATGGACCTCCCTGCAGCCGAGGGAGGAGGCGGGAGCAGACATGGAGCCGAGGGAGGAGGCGGGAGCAGACGAGGAGACCATGGAGGAGGCGGGAGCAGACGAGGAGACCATGGAGGAGGCGGGAGCAGACGAGGAGACCATG